CTGATTCACCCAGTTGTAGTGAAGTGAGCTCGGCCAGACACAGCTGCCGTTTCGAGCAGTCTGAACTAATAAAGTTTGAGAGAGGTGAGAGGTATCGGCGCAGCAAAGAAAAACCACCACCACCGCTGACGTTGCCGCGAGTCGCTGTTATTGCCATAACCTAAGACAACACTAATACAGGCGCAAACAGCCAACATGCCACTGTAGTTGTAGCCAGCCAGAAACGTCAATGCCTGCCAACACATTTTTGATGCAACAGAAAAATGCAGTTTGCACTGCACTGCAGTCCAATACCTCCATCATTTTAATTGATAAATTAATCAAATGTTTGTGTGTATGAGACATGGGGAGGGAGCGGGAAATGGGAGCTATTACGTCTCCCGTCGGTGCCATGCGGTGCGGAATATCAATGTGTTGTTTGTATTTATAGAATTCTCATTTGTTACCGCTGCTCCCCATTCAAACAATTGTAAATTAAATAATCGATTACGAAATTTTATCTTACGGCAGCAACATTGTAAAGTTTTGTGTAATAGAGGAATAGAAATAGAGAGATAGAGAACATGTGGTGGTCTCTGAGAGAACGACAAATTATTTGTTAATGGGAATAAGGGGCAGAGAGGGCATAAAACAGCATAGATTTTGCAAAAACTGCAATACGCATTAGTTAAACACAGAACAAGAGAGTGAAAGAGGGAGAGTTATGCACCACATCTCAGGGGCCAGAGCTTCTGCATTTGCATCTCAAACTGCAACGCTCAAAGTAATGCAGCAGAGAGGAGCACTGGCATAAAAACTGTGCCAAGTGGTTGTTGTGTTTTTTCTATTTACATTTGCTTGCATTTCAAATGTCAGCTGCCAGATTTTAAGAGCAACAAGGTATGACAAGTGTTTGCGATGTTAAGAGAAAGAATAAAACCAAAAACAAATAAGAAAATTTACAACATTGTTGTTATCAAAAATTAAAAAAAAAACTCTTTTTTGATGTAGCTGCTACAGATAAGAGATTCAGTTGGATGCAATTGCAATTTTTAGAGAATATCAAATAGTTTTAAAATCGGAACTTTGTGAGTTCATTAGAAGAACTTGGGACTTCTGTGAGAAGATGTTTGATGTTGTATTGAACGGAGATCCTCAGTTCTAGGAGGAAATGGGTAGCATAGAAAAATAACATAATCAATATGAAATTACGTTGGGCGCCACTTTAAAATTAACATCACCACTTAATTTGTTAAGATTACATCAATTTATTATTCATATGAAATGCAGTATAAAAAAGTATCATTCGGCTTTGCCGACAGATGTATACTCTCAGCCAATGTTCGCTCGTTTAAATATAATTTGACTTAAGTAATTATTATTATATTGTTGACACTCTATGGAACATGTTCCGAAGGAAAGGGACAATATTCTCCATTTCGTATCGAACCTTAATAAATATGATACAAATATTGCGACGTGCCAGGTTTGGACTATATTGGTTACTTCCTTCAGTTTATATGAGATATGTGTGAATTTTTAGAAACTGTTAAAATGAGCGTGAGTTCCAGACATAGTCGACCGAAGTATTCCATTTTCATTCTTTACTTAATACAGAAAAAATATTAGAAGAACAGTGTGGCTTGTTTGTTCGGGATACCGTAGTATTTTGTTGTTGCAAAATAGTCTGGCTTTATCCCTTTGTTGTTGTTTTTATAAAAACAACGTTTGTTTATTAGTGGAGAACGATGGTAATGTTTACCAGGGGGTAAGGCAGGGAATACCTAGGTTTCGGAAAGAGCCACCAATCCTCATCAGTTCCCTTGTTTTTGTCTGGGATATTCTCCCCAGAAGTTATTTTAAAAATAACTTCTATGACAAAAAACATTTTTTACCCAAGTGACGAGATCGTAAGCTCAATAGAAGAGGAACCATAGAATTAAATAAAACTAAAATTCTCTTGGAAAGTCTTCTAAATCTTACAACCGCACTTATAAACATTTACATCTTTCTCCACTTGTTATGCTTTCGTTCAGCCTGAACCCCCTGGTAAACATTACCATCGTTCTCCACTAATAAACAAACGTTGTTTTTATAAAAACAACAATAAAGGGATAAAGCCAGACTATTTTGCAACAACAAAATACTACGGTATCCCGAACAAACAAGCCACACTGTTCTATTAATAGACAAGGCACGGTCGACGAAGGGGTTTTTGTTGTAACAGACAAAACCAACTTACATGGTTATGCTACTTCGTTCAGGCTGAACGAAAGCATAACAAGTGGAGAAAGATGTAAATGTTTATAAGTGCGGTTGTAAGATTTAGAAGACTTTCCAAGAGAATTTTAGTTTTATTTAATTCTATGGTTCCTCTTCTATTGAGCTTACGATCTCGTCACTTGGGTAAAAAATGTTTTTTGTCATAGAAGTTATTTTTAAAATAACTTCTGGGGAGAATATCCCAGACAAAAACAAGGGAACTGATGAGGATTGGTGGCTCTTTCCGAAACCTAGGTATTCCCTGCCTTACCCCCTGGTAAACATTACCATCGTTCTCCACTAATAAACAAACGTTGTTTTTATAAAAACAACAATAAAGGGATAAAGCCAGACTATTTTGCAACAACAGAAAAAATATTGGTATGGGCAAAATTACAAGGAATCCGAACATTTATATCAAATTTTATGGGAAATCATAAATTCCGTTCATCTCAGGTTTCAGCTTGAGATAAATGATTAGCTATAGCAAGTTGTAAAGAATCACTGACTTGTTTCGCAAGTTATGAAAGATAAATGTATTGAAAATTATGACCCTTTGTGGCTAAGGTACCAGAACGGGTTCGCAGATATGAATATATAATATTCACAACAGATCTTGTGTGAAATTTGAAAAGAGTTGGATGCTTTTATCGTTTTGTTTGAACGTTTTGTTTTTCCAAATCCTATTCAGGTACCAGAAAGAGTGCGCCAATATATCCCATCTTCACAGCAGATCTTGTGTTAGTAGAAATAATGAGATGTGTGAAATTTGAAGATAACCGTATGCTTATTTCGGATTTTGTGATCGTTTTGGTTATTCAAAACGTTGACCCTTTGAGTGGGAGGCACCAGAAGGAATGGTCCGATTTCTACCTTCTTTGTAATAGATCTTGTGTTGATGGAAATATCAAAATGTGACAGGTATGTATGGAATCGGATCTTAATTTCGCGTGTTATGAGCTTCATGAAAATTCCAAATTTTGACCCTTTTTGGGGATGGAGTGAACCGAGATTGTCCATTTTCGCACCTGACCTAGCGCTGATACAAATATTTAGATTTGCAAAACTGGTGCAAAATTGGATTATCCGTTCTCTTTCTGTGCAGTAAATTATTTAAATAGTTTTAAAACAGCGACTTTGAGAAGATGTTTGGTCTACTGGGTTTCATTGGTAGCCTTTAAAAATAAAAGGTATTTTGGGAAAGGTCAATTGCTTTTATAGAAACTCGGATTTAACGGATCATAAAATAGTCAGAAATTGTTAAACACTTTAATAAATGATTTTTATAAAACTAGAAATTCAATCTACGATATAGTCTACGGCCTTCATTCGAAAGGATCTTTTAGTTTTTTGTTTTTAAATAAATGAAGAAAAATTTGAACTCCAGGAAGGATTGTTAGATTTTTCTTTTTAGCCCAGATTTTTCACATGTTTTGGCGACCCTAAAGAAAGTGGCCTTGTGGTTCACAATGAAATCCCTTTCGGTTCTATTTTCTTTTGAAACAAATATTTTGATGTTTCTGATATTCACTGAGAAAGACTTTATGATCATGTACTCTTGTCGGATTTATATAAAACTCTTCTAGGATTTCATAACAAATAGAAAAGAAAACAAAAATATTTCTTTATTCTTCGAAAAAAAAAACGACCTTCTGGCCTTCCAAAAAAGGATAACCATCTGGTGTTTAACGATTTCAAAACGTTCTGGAGCGAAAATCATTTTTTTGGACGATCTTGTTGTAAAAAAGATCTTTGAACTTTTTTTGAGAAGGTCCTTTTCCCGTAGAAGATCGGGTGATCTTTGCGTAAAAATATCGACAATCTTCTCATAGAAAATTAGGCATTCTTGTCGTTGAAAGTCAGGATGTTTTACCATAAAAATTCGGATGATTTTGTCATAGAAAATTATATATTTAATATCTATCCTTCTCATAGAAAATCATACATTCTTCTCATGGAAGATATAGAGAATTTTGAAGATCAGGTTGATTAAAAACATCAGATTGTCTCATAAAAGGTCGTGGTAACTCCTCATAAGAGATTGATTGATTTTCTCAGAGCATATGATCACACTTTCTCACTGAGAAAAGGGGATCCTTTCAGAGATCAGGTGATTTTGTCATCGAAGTTTTAGGGCTTATCAAACACCATCAGGCGATCCTCCAGTAGAAAATCTGGTAGCATTTTCATAGAAATTTGGATGATCCCCTCTTGCAGATAAATTATACCGAAGATTAAGACATATTATATATTACAATCATAAAAAAGGATATCTCGTGATCTTTTAATAGTTCAATTGCCTAGAATAAAAGTAAGTCTGAAATATCTTCCAGAAAATAATCAGGCTTTCCTATCGATATTCAATTGCAACCCTGGTCATTATTCTAATAACGAAGATCTCATAAACTTTGGGTCTGCTTTTGTATGGAGGCTGCTTCCAAAAATGTGCATATTTCTGTCTTCTTCAAATAGAAGTGTAAACTTCGCACCACAAACACTTTGCTTAGAAAGTGTGACGAGGAACTTCAAACTTTTTTTCTAAAAAAGTTTTACATTTTTTGAAGACTTCATAATATTAGGATCATTTCCTCAAAGTAGATTAAGTGTTTTCCAAATAGAAAAGTTAGAGATCTTCAGGATTAATGCTACAATAGAATAGAATATATTTGGCAATTGTTTAATTTTTTTAGCATGGAGTTTTCAAAATCTAAATTTTTTCCAATTTCATTAAAAATAAATATTTCTGAAAAAATACTTACGAAGTTTTAACGATCGAAATCAGAAGATATATGTCATCATCAGTGATCGCCTGTAATGAAAAAAAGAAAATTACATAAATTGTTTACTTTTATTAATTACTAACAAAATTTTGAATGAAAAAAACCCGCCCGCCCAATTAAACAATCGACCTTTAACCCACTGGTTATGAAATTAAAATTTTCATTTCATTTTCATTCGTTCTTACTCTCCATTGAAAACCTCAATCAAGCAGCTACATTTGAGTTTGCGCTAGGCCTACGAACACACATATCTTCTACACTTGCTTTGCTGCCTGTCAGCCGGCTTGGCAACCTACGCACCTACCTAATTGTTGCCATTAAAAAAAATGTCGTCGTTCATTTGTTTGGCCCACAATCAGAATCGACTTTGCAAAAAAAAAAAACGACAGGCCTATTACACTGCCACACTGAAATAGTTTTCGGAACAATAGTAATATTTGAGCTCCAACACCTCCCTCCCCCCTGCCACATCTGCCACCACGACCTATGTCTTACGGCTTTACACATTCAATTAAGATCGCCTCCTGCACGCTCTCTGGTTCAGTCGCTCGCCTACTCACATTTCCATGCCACGGCCTGTTGTTGTCGCATTTTGTCTCACAAAAGAAATTGTTGGAACCTGAGACGAAGACGACGGCGACGACGACTACGGCGATGATGATAAATGACAGATTATATTACAACAAGCGGTGCTATTCATGAAAGTGACAACGACAACAACGGCAGCAACAACAGCAACAATGCCCATAATAACATCGTTAATAATAGTAAAAATTGAATTTATTGTAGAACTAGTTTAGTAGGAAAGATCGGCGAACGACTTGCGAAGTTGCAAATTATTCAATTATTGGCGGTGATTTACGTAATTTTCAATTTTCCTACAAGAGAGCCCTTACTACAGTGGGGGAAATGATAATTTTTTGAGAGATTTTTCTCTGGGAATAAAGAGAATATCTTCTGCACTTCTATGAGAGATGATCCTTTGGCTTTAAGGAAAATATTTTTTCATTAGCTAAATAAGATCTTCAGATCTTCTATTATATCTCTGAGAGAACCTCTTGATTGACCTATGACAAGGTCTCCTCTCCTCTCTCCTTGTCTTCCATAAAAATATCTGCTGATAGTCTAGGAAAATCTATTTATTGTTATGATCTTCAAGGAGAAAAGCTTCTGGTCTTCTAGGATAGGATCATCTTCCAGAAAAATATGTTCTAGGAGAAGTTCTTATGTTTTTGCAGAAGAAAATCTTACTGGAAAATATCTTCTGATTTTCCAGGAGAATATCTCCTGATCTTCCAGGATATCTTCTGATCTTCTAGATCTTCTAGGAGAAGATCTATAGATATTTTATTAGAAGATCTACTGAGCTTCTGATCTTCTAGGAGAAGATCTTATGATATTTTATTAGAAGATCTACTGATCTTTTAGGAGAATATCTACTGATATTCTAGAAGAAGATCTACTGACCTTTAAGAGAAGACCTACGGATCTTCTTAGAGAAAATCTACTGATCTTCTATGAGAAGATCTTGTGTTCCTTCAGAAGACCTTCTGATGTTCTAGGAAAAGATTCACTGATCTTCTGAACTCCTAGAAGATCAAATGTTATGTGAAGATCTTCTGACCTTCTAAGCAAAGATCTTCTGGGAAAAGATATTGTGATATTCTAGGAGAAGAAATTCTAATCTTTAAGGTCAAGATTTTTTAGAAGATCTTCCGATCTTCTGGGAAAAGATCTTCCGATCTTCTAGGAGAAGATCTACTGATGTTTTAGGAATAAGATCTTCTGATCTTCTAGGAGAAGATCATCTTATCTTCAAGGTGAAGATATTCTGATATTCTATTAAAAGATCTTCGGATCTACTGATCTTCTAGGAGTAGATCTACTTATCTTCTAGGAGAAGATCTTTTAATCTTCTAGGAGAAGATCATCTGATCCTCTATGGGAAGATCTTCAGCACTACTAGAAGATAAACTTCTGATCTTCTACATAAAGATCTTCTGATCTTCTGGGAGAAGATCTTCTGATCTTCTGGGAGATCTTCTGATCTTTTGAGAGAAGATCTTCTGATCTTCTAGGAGATCTTCTGATCTTCTTGGAGAAGATCTTCTTATCTTCTGGGAGAAGATCTTCTGGTAGAGAGTCTTCTAATCTTCTACGTAAAGATTATCTTATCTTCTGGGAAATATAGACTGATAATCTAAGAGAAGATATCCGATATTCAAAGTTAAGACCTTCTATGAGTAGATAATCCGACATTTTACAAGAAAATTATTTGATCTTCTGGGAGAAAATCTTTCGATGTTCTGGGAGAAGATCTTCCGATCTCCTATGAGAAGATCATCTGATCTGCTATGAGAAGATCATCTGATCTTCTAGCGGTAGATCTTCGAATCTTCTAGAAGAAGCTTCTGCCTTTAATAAGAGAAACTTTATTAGAAAATTCCCGGATCTTTCATATCTCCCAATCTTCTATAAAAATATATGTAATATGAGAAGGTTCTCCGGACGGAAACTCTTCTGAACTTGTTGGAGAAAATCGTCTGATCTGTCCATATAAGATACGTGTGGCGTATAATAACTGTCATAACGTATACGCTCCTTAACCCTTAGCATACAACTCCATCTGCAGAGAAATACATCCAAATTGTATATTCTTCTTGAATTGGAAAAAAAATTCCACGATAAATGCCTTCAATTCATATTTATTGCCGAATTATTTCTTCAACTTCTTATTTTTGATATCTAAACGGTGCCTTGTTCTCCTGGATTTTCCGTAAAATATTTTCCCTAAATAACCTAGCCTATCTTGAGAATTCTGATTTTAATTTTGTTCCTATTTTTTTATCAGTTTATTGCTACATTTTATGCTGTGCCTTGTCTAACAAAATGGGGGTTAGTGTTGGTCTCTCTCTCCATTTCTACCTAGCTGGGCTGGGCTGGCTGTTTGCCTGGCTGATCTGGCAAAACTGACTGACAACGAACGTTTACTTTCGAAATCAGTGAAATGGAAACTTTAGCGGAAACCAAAAGTGAATTGCGAATAAATTTTGTTACGTTGAATGTTATGCTTGATATTGATGTGTCTATGTGTGTGTGTGTGCGGGAATTTACATATGTATGTATAACATATGTAGATTCCTACATATGTATGCCATGTTCAACAAATTAATGCCATAAATCTTTAAATTGTATATTGAATTTAGACCGGTGCCGATTTGCTTTGCATTTTGAATGCATAATGCGAAAGACAATAACAACAACAACGTCAGCGTATACATTAGCCACTCAAAACTTAAAAAAAATTTAGAAAAAAAATTAGGCGACATGGTTTTTTTTTTTTGGTATGAAATGTTTTTTCCATTACAAATCCTAAAAACTGAGTACAGATTACAGAATAGTAAACCGAAAAATATTCCCAAAATTTCGAATTCCAAATACTAAATTAAAAATTTTTCAAAACAAAAATACACGAATTATTTTTGAGTTCAGAAATGGTTAATAGAAAGAACGAGAATAAAAAGGAGAGAAAATAAAAATCATTTTAAAATCTCTTTTATATATTGAACTGACCGACTGAGGTTTAGTCTAGGTGAGTAGGCGTGTGATAGTCCGGTTTTTGTTTCTTACTAATTTTCGCACCAAAAAGGTACGAAAAGTACTAAAAACTGTAACCAAAGAATGGATAAGAAATGAGCTAGAAATATGTAATTCGGAATGAGAGCAGGATAGATGTACCTAAGTGCTTTTTTGGAAATTCGAAATTTAAGGTTTTTAAAAGGTTTTAAACTCCTAAAATAGTACCATTTGGATACCGGATAGAGCTAACATTTTGAAATTTGTATGAGAATCAAGGTTGGAAGGTAAGTTTGATATAGTTTAGGGTCAACGGATGAAGATGAAATTTTTAAATTTTGTGTTGGGGTCCCTGTTTATGATAAAATGGTAGTTTTGGAAATATGTGCTACAAGTACACAAAAAGTACTAAATAGTACTGTATTTGGTACAATTTGGTATTAGTGAACCGATAGTGTTTGAAATATAAAAATTTGGTATTCACGTATAGCCTGGACAAATGGAGGTGGTTTAGGAAATGTGTACTGTAATACGAAAAGTACGAAAAGTATTGAATGGTACTAAATTTGGTTTTGGTTGAAGGGATAGAGATAAAATTCTGAAATTTGATATTTAGATCACTAATGGTATCTGTGTTTGATATTTGGTGGTGTTTTGGAAGTGTCTCCTATATTTGTATGAAAAGTACTAAATGGTATTAAAGTTGGTATTGGGTGAAGGGATAGAGCTGATATCGTAAAACTTTATATTGCGATAACTGACAGCGTCTACGATTGAGGTTTGGGACGGTTTTGCAAATTTGATATTTAGGTGTCTGTTGCAAATGCGTTCTATAATTGTTCGAAAAGTACTAAATAAATAGAGAGATGTCGATTATTATTGAGATGCGTACTAAATCTCACAAAATTTGGAGAGCTGAGAGAGAGAGAGAGAGAGAGAGAAATTAAAAAAATAATGTGGAACTGAAAAATCGTGCACTTTGAGTACTACAAGTAAAAAAGCAGTAATTTCGGCCGGCCCTCCACCATTTGGAATGGATTTGGAAATTTTCGAAAAAAAAATCGGTTAAAAATTTTGTTAAAATCTTTAAAAAACAAGTAAAATAGTATCAGTCGGTTTTGCCGACAGATGTATACCCCCAGCCTTGAGTTATGAACGTGACAGATTTGGACTATATCGACTACTTCTTGTACTTTATATGAGGTATGTGCACCTTTTCGGAAAATGGAGCGGACCGGTATATCCCATCTTCACACCAGATCTTGAGTTAGTAGAAATAATGGGACGTGTGTAATATTAAGAGAACCGGATGCTTATTTCGGATTCTTTGCTCGTTTTGATTATTCAAAACTTAGGTCCATTGTGTGGGAGGTACCAGAACGAATGGTCCGATCTTTACCATCTATATAAATGATCTTTCGTTTAAGAGAATATTGAGTTGTGCCAAGTCTGAATATAAACGTGTTTAAGTGTTTTAAGAGCTTGATGAATATTCAAAATTTCGACCGTTTGTGGGGGAAGTACTTGATGGAATGGACCTATATTATCCATTTTTCGCATCTGACCTAGAACTGACGTAAATATCAGGATTTGCAAAGTTGGAACAAAATCGGATTATCGATTCTCTTTCTGTGCAGAAAAAAAATATATATGTGTTTGAAAATCTCGATCATTCGTGTGAGAGGTACCAGAAGGAGTGGACCGATATATTCCATCTTAACACCAGACCTTGGGTTAATATAAATATTGGGATGTGTGAAATTTGAAGACAATCGGACTCTTACATCACATTTTATGAGAGTTGTAATTGTTTAAAATTTTGACCCTTTGTGGGGGAGGTGCTTGATGGAGTGGACCTATATTATCCATTTTTGCACCTGACCTAGAACTGACGTAGATATTAAGATTTGCAAAGTTTGAGCAAAATCGGATTATCGTTTCTTTTTCTGTGCAAAAAGATATATTCTTTGAAAATTACGACCTTTTGTGTGGGAGGTACCAGAAGGTGTGGACCGATATTGCCCATCTCCGAACTCGATCTAAGTTTGGCAATAATATAACGATGTACCAAGTTTGAATCAAATCGGATACTCCCTTCGAGAGTTATCGTGCGCACCAGCCAGACAGACAGACGGACGGACGGACATCGCCAGATCGACTCTAAATGTTCTGAAACGGATTTGGTCCAAAGAGACCTAGGGTCTAAAATCGTTATTTCGACTAGGCACGTTTTGACCTATTAAATTGACCCTCTTTTGCCATATGGCTGAGGGCATAAAAAGGTGGGCCCACTTTTCAGTCCACTGCAGAGAAACTAAAAATAGGGCTCAAATGAAAGGTCTCTGGTAGATCTTTCCAAATATGGGGTATTTATAAAAAAAATAATATTGAAATTAAGAATTTTGTTGAAAATCTGGAAACTATTTTTCACTTTATAGGAGCTGTGATTATTCAAAATTTTAAATAACCGAATGGCTCGATTTTGTCAAGTTTCGCAACAGACCAAGCCAAGTATTACTAAATATCACCGACAGCCGGCTGTGGAAATCATCCTAGCTTCCGAACGAAACGAAGTAGATGGACAAAGTTGTTAGATCCGTAGAATTTCGTTGTATTGAAAGTGGACTATATGGTAAATTTTTGGCATAGCCTCCTTGCAGATATTTGGAGATTTAAGGCGTTATGGGCGTTTTAATTTAAATGTGGTTGTTTTTGTGTAGAAAACTTACTTCCTTGCATAGAACTGGCCATATCGGTCCAAGTTTTGGTATAGAACTGATTTAACGCTACCTCTAGATGTTCTGTTATTAATGATTTCTGTCACACTTTTCACGTGAATGGTTTCAAGTTGGGTATATGGTGGTTTCATTTCATAAAAGGTACTATCTCTTTTGACAAAAAAAAAGCCTATACAGATCCGCGTCTTTGTATAGCGCCCATATAACGATATCTCCCAATATTCGATATTCTGAAGATGTTATTTACATAGTTCAACAAAATTTCTATTTGGTTTTGACTGATGGAAAAATATCTGCATTGGGCCATATTTTCGAATAGCCCCCAAAATAACTGTATCTAACGATATTCGGTTTTTTTCGATGATTTATGTCACCGTTTTCGGCAGAATTGTTTCAAAATTGGTTTTTGTAGTTCGTAATGGTAACCACTTCCTAAAATTATATTTCTAATATCCTCCATGGTACTTTCTGATATTCGATATTTTTCTCGATTTTAGCAACATTTTCTCATGGAATTATGTCAAAATTGGAATTTGAAGTTTGGAAAAGACACCTCCATCTATGGCAGATAAATGGCTACCCAGCATTTTCCTCAACCACCCAATATTCAATAATTTTTGTGGAGTTTTTTTTTAAAATTTGCAGGTATCTTTCAAACGGCGGAGGGTATTAACAGTTCGGTGTGGCTTATCTGCTTCCTGTTTTGTTAGCTCTTTTTTCTGTAATTTTGGAAAAAATTAATTTTGTCCTACAGGATTATTAGAAATCTAGACCCTATGTGGAGGTGAGAGTTCACCAGAAGGTTGGGCGTATTTAGCTGATTTTCACATCTGGGATTAATTTACAACAAATTGGTTTAATTCCTTGATTTTTATAAGTTATTTGATTTTTTTGGAAATGTGTACTTTTAATGGAAATGTACCAGAAGGTGTGGACAGATATGTCACATTTTCTGTCTGGACTTAGTGAAGTTAGAGATTTTGGAATGTGTAAAGTTTGAAGAAAAACAAATTTTTTTCGGTCAACATTTTGACCCTTTGGGGGTTACGAAATCAAAATTGAGAAATTTATAGTTTTTTGAATATTTTCGAAAGTTTGTAGCTACTTTTACCAAAACTCTCGATGGACTTATTCCTGTGGGGATTTCTACAAGCTCATACTTGAATGATACTCTTATTTGTCGATCGCTATAACTGGATTTTTTTCCTCTCAAATTGTGCCACCACTGCGTTTTATTCGAAACGATGGTCAGAATCTATAACTCCAGTGGCGCCCAACGTGTGTGGAATTAAGTTTGGGTCTATTTTCTAATTGGATGGATGAGTTTCGCGCCAAAAACCTTATCAAACTTTTTTTTGAGTAAGGACGATGAGATATTATGGGGAAATATCAAATCGGATACTGTCGTCGAGAGTTGTCTTACGCATTACTCGGCCAGAAAGAGGGCAGACATTGATAGATCGACTCCAAATGTCCTCTTCAAAGAAATATTGGGTCTACGATTTTTCTTTTTTTCCGATATTTTTGTATTCTATTCGGCTTTTAAATAATTGAATTTTCTTACTGACATCTAGAAATTGATAGAATTTCAAATTTCTTACCTGAGTTTTGTTTAACTGGGATTCTGAAAAAGAGAATAAAAAAATGAAAAAAAAAAAAAATATTTAAAATTTCAAAAATAAATAAAATAATAATATTATTAGAAAACAAGTAAAAAACATTGAGTTCGGCCGGGCTGAACTTTTAATACCCTCCACCTTAGGGTAATGGAAACATTAGAACCAATTATGACCTACATATGCCAATTTTTAGACATATTCGTGGGAATATGTGGCAAAAATCATCAAAATACCGAATATCGGGAGTTACCGCTATATAGGGCTATACAAAAACGTGGACCTATACATATAATGTTTCGCCCACGGAGCTAGAACCTATTATGACCAACTAATTCCAATTTGTAGACAAATCCGTGAAAAATGTGACAAAAACCATCAAAATACCGAATATCGAGAGGTACCGTTATATGGGGGCTATACCAAAACGTGGACCTATACATGCAATGTTTCGCCTCCGGAGCTAGAACCCACTATGACCAACAAATTCCAATTGTTAGACAAATGCATGAAAAAATGCGGCAAAAATCATCAAAATACCGAATATTGGGAGGTACCGTTATATGGGGACTATACCAAAACGTTGACCGATTTATGTCATTTTCAATACCAACCATCCTGGACACAATACAAATTATTCTGCTAAATTTTGACGCTCTACGTCAAATAATGTGGCCTGTATCAAAATTGCAACAGACAGACGGACATCGTTAAATCGACTTAGAATTTTATGCAGATTATGATTATGGGGTCTACGACGAATATTTAGACATCTTACAAACGAAATGACCCGAACGAAATACCCTGCTTTCCAAGTTGGAGGGTATTAAAACTTAAAAACCTATCTAGGATTGCTTATCTGCAGGAACTCGATTACTAATCTTTATTCATTTTAAAGCTCCTGAACTTTTTTTCTTCTTTATCGAAAACTCATTGGGACCCTATCGAAATGTAAACCCTTTTCAATTTTTCACATTTTCTCCCTTGAAAACTATAAACATGCATCGATTTTTTCCATATGTATGTCATTGTAACACTGCCTGCCTGACCAAGTGCCATTGCTTTGGCTTCATTTCGTGTAAAACGAAAAATAAGTGAAATTTTTGAACATTATTATTTTTTCGATTGGGTTTTCCCAAAAAAAGAAAAAAACACAACTGCAAAAAAACCGGTGTTCCTTTGGAAATACACGAAAAACATTTTGTAAATCGACAATTTTTTGGCGACTTTAAGCGACAGTTAAATTTAAAAGAAAAAAACATTTTGCGAAGAAAAAACTGGAAATTTAATTTTAAAAATAAACAAATCACAAACAAGTCATTATCAATCAATTCAATCGACATGGTAACAGCAACAACAGCAACTACAACAAGGACAACAGCAGAAATATGTGGCCAAGATTTGTGCTTTTTGTGGTATTTGCCAAATAAAATGTTTGTGCCAACAGCAGTGGTGGTGTTTGAGCCGCGCATTTTGGCTTAAAGGTTGTATATTTAACTCCATTTGCTATGGTGTACCCTACATGCTTTAGGTGGATGTTGGAATTAAGATTATTTTCTAATTTTTTTATATATATTTCTTTTCGAAAAATATTTAACTTATTTCTTTAGAAGTTATCTTGAGGTATTACAATCAATTCTTGAAACAAGTCATGAATCTTAACAACATCCCTAAAGGACATCTGTCCATTAAAAAAATTTATAATAGAGACAGAGAAGTTCGAATTTATCTCTAAATGCGTGGTAATCGATATCCAAAATTCTGTCCATCTTTACGGAGTCCCGCTCCAATAACCACAGTTTAGGTCGCAGTGATTTGCAACTAATCGATCTTTTTTTCTAAGTTTTTACTAGAGGGAATGGATAGCCTCACATAACTGTCTGACAATACCCTCAGCCATATGGCTAGAGGGGGTATATATCATTTAATACAAGGTCTCTTTGAAACAAATCCGTTTCAGGACATTTGGAGTCGATCTAACGATGTCCGTCCGGCCGTCTGTCTGTCTGGCTGGTCGCACCAACCACCGATGTTGGTTGCGCACCGCACGATAACTCTCAAAGAGAGTATCCGATTTGGTCCAAACATGGTACATCGTAATATTATTATCAAACATAGATCGAGTTCGGAGATGGGCAATATCGGTCCAGTCCTTCTGGTACCTCTCCCACAAAAGATCGAAATTTTCAACAAAAATATTTTACTACACAGAAAGATAAATGATAATCCGATTTTGCTCCAACTAGAAAATCCTAATATCTACATCAATGATAGGTCAGGTGCGAAAATGGACAATATCGGTCCATTCCATGAAGTACCTCCCCCACAAATTTTGTCAAAATTTTGAATAATTACAACTCTTATAAAATGTGATATAACAGTCCGATTGTCTTCAAATTACATACATCAGAATATTTTTATTGACCCAAGGTCTGGGGTGAAGATGGGATATATCGGTCAACTCCTTCTGGTACCTCCCCCACAAAGGGTCAAAATTTTGAATGTCCATGAAGCTCATAAAACACGAAATTAACATCCGATTCCACTCAGATTGGCACATCTCAATATTTCTATTAACACAAGATCTGTCATAAAAATTGTAGAGATCGGTCCATTCCTTCTGGTACCTCCCCCACAAAGGATCAAAGTTTTGAATAACCCAAAACTATCTTAAAATCCGAAATTATCATCCGGTTCTCTTCAAATTTCGAACATACCATTATTTCTACTAACACAAGATCTGTTGTGAAGATGGGATTTATCGTTCCACTGCTTATACAGGGTGAGATAAAAAAACTGCAACAATTTTAACAGCCATAATTTTTACATCTTTTTTTAAATTTTATTGAATGAAAGCAAAAAATGTCGGAAATAGCATCAAATTTTAGAATAATTTGTTTGATTTTGTCACCTTTTTCAGGAATTATGGCCTTCAAACGGCCAATGAAACCGTCACACGCTGCCCGAATGTTGCTCTTCGGTATTTTGGTCCATTCCCGGCGCTTGCTTGAAGTGATCGACACTTGGGTATTTTTTATTGCCAACCTTACTTTCCAAAATACTCCAGACACAATAGTCCAACGGATTGGCATCCGGAGATTTTGGTGGCCATTGTGCTCTGGAAATTAAGCGAGGAACCTCATTTTGCAACCATCCTTGGGTGGCGCGTGCTGAGTCTCTCTGGGTGGCGCGTGCTGAGTCCTTGGAATATCCAAGGCCTGCGGCCAAAATGTTTGCGTGCCCAAGGCTTTAATACACCCTCCAGGATATTTTCGCGATAATATTCGGCATTTGTTCTGATGCCACGGTCGATTAATACGAGCGGAGAGCGACCATCGGCTGTTATGGCGACCCACACCATCACCATGGCCGGCGCTTTTCAGCTGACAACGAATGTTTTCTCATCGGAGGAAACCAAATTCGGCAGTTCACCACTTTGGGCTCTTTTGAGCCTATTTTCGTTTTGTTGCGGTGTAAGTTCTTGAACTTTTTGGAATTTTAATGGCTTTTCCCCAAGCTCATTTTTCAATATTTGCCGAATGGAATATTGCGATATGTTCAGCTCAATGAGCTTTCACTGGAATAATTTTAACAGCTGTCGGACGAGTGGCTTAGAAATGACAGCAGTCTGAAGTTGGTTGCAGTTTTTTCACCTCACCCTGTATATAAAGGTTTACTCAAAGTTATACTATTAGTGTTGTAAAAAGTGGCGCCCAACAAGAGGCCATCCTCCTCTTCCAGGTTGCCTCCCCGCCGAAACAGATGTCTCATATGGATAAAGATGTGTTTACAGTCATTTAACTAAATGTTGTTCAAAAGTGGCGCCCAACGGGGTAACTAGCCCTCTCTCTCTCTAACCACATATACACAAAATCTATGAATTGGATTTTAATTCTCGAGAGAATTCCTATTGATTTTTTTAATTTAGAAACTCTCTCGATTTTCTTCTTAGCGATAGTAGCCTTTTTATATATCCTCTATTTGTAGGTAGCGATGGTGCCTATAGATTAAGGTTTACTCATAGTTATTCGGTAAGTATTGTAAAAAGTGGCGCCCAACAAGGGGGCCATTCTCCTCTTTTAGGTTACATTCCGGCCGAAACAGGTGTCTCATATAGATAAATGAGTGTTTACAGTTATTTAACAAAATGTTGTTCAAAGTGGCGCCCAACGAGAAAACTCGCTCTCTCTCTCTGGCTTGGATGTTGATTCTAGAGAGAATCCCCATTGATTTTTTTATTCACAAAAACTTCATCATAGTTCTTCTTAGCGATAGCAGAGTTTTTATATGTCCTTTATTTGTAGGTAGCGATGGTGCCTATAGATTAAGATTTTCTCATATTAATTCGATAAGTGTTGTAAAAAGTGGCGCCCAACGAGGAGGCCATTCTCCTCTTTTATTCTGTCTGCCGGCCGAAATACATGTTTCATATGGATAAAGGAGTGTTTGCAGTTATTTAACAAAATGTTGTTCAAAGTGGCGCCCAACGGGGTAACACTTAGTTATTCGATAAATGTTGTAAAAAGTGGCGCCCAACGAGGAGGCCATTCTCCTCTTTTATTCTGTCTGCCGGCCGAAATACACGTTTCATATTGATAAAGGAGTGTTTGCAGCTATTTAACAAAATGTTATTCAAAGTGGCGCCCAACGAGGTAACTCCCTCTCTCCCTCTAACTTACATACACTCAAAATCTATTGATTCTCGATAGTATCCCTTTTAATTTTTTTTATTATAGACTCTCGATTAAACTCTCTCGAGGTTCTTCTTAGCGCTGTCAGAATTTTTCTTTGTCCTCTATTTCCAGAGGATCCCCGAGATCGTTTTATACTCGATACAAGTTATCCTAAGGTTTGTCTTTCTATGGGAGACCTCTTGAAGATATTTCCTCCTCCTCCTTGTCGGTCCTACCTGTATGGAAGTCCTTCCGAATATCAGCTGTAGGCCACCACACATTCGTTGTCACTAACTAGACCATTGTTTTTTTCCTTTCAAAGAAAAAAACTGCAA